TTAAGGTTGGAAGGGACCTCTAGAGGTCATCTAGTCCAACCCCCCTGCACTCGCAGGGTCACCTAAAGCACGTGGCACAGGACTGCATCCAAGCGGGTTTTGAAGATCTCCAGAGAAGGAGACTCCACAACCTCTCTGGGCAGCCTGTTCCAGGGCTCTGTCACCCTCACTGTTAAGAAATTTTTCCTTAAGTTCCTGTGAAACTTTTGGTGCTTCAGTTTCTGGCTGTTTCCTCTGGTTCTATCAGTGGCCACCAGTGAAAAGAGGCCAGCACCATCCTCCTCACTGCCTCCCTTGAGGTACTTATAGACACTGATCAGGTCTCCTCTCAGCCTTCTCTTCTCCAGGCTGAACAGGCCCAGCTCTCTCAGTCTTTCCTCGTAGGGCAGATGACCACAAAAGACTGTGAATGTACCACATTTCTAGTTTGCTTTATGAACAGGCGTTTGAATTTTCAAAAAAAAGTTATTTTTTGAAAAGGAAAAAAGTACTAATGACAACTTTCTAGAGTATTTTTAGTATAGCCATCAAATGTATGCCATGCATTTTGGAAACCAGTGCTAAGCTGGTAGTTACAAAAACTTCTCAGCTTCAAGGCAATAGATTTGCAGTCAGCTTGTCTTTGTAAAAGGAATGAAGTGGCGGTTTTGCAAGAAAAATATGTGATTCAGGTAATTCTTTATGCCAATCTGGATTTGTGCAATACATCACCTGTATGCAGGTGTCCCTGCTTGAAAATTGCTGTTTAGGGTATTTCTTTGTGTTTTCCCTTTTATCTGCCAGGTGCAATATCTAATTAAAATGTTTAAGACTTTGATCATGTCCTTTTAAAACATCTGTGGTGGTTTCAACTTAGGAATTCCAAATGAGCATTCCTTCTAACCCTCTTTGAGTAGGTTTCTAATGCTGTATTTTTCAAGTTTTTGGAACGTAGCAAGAACTGTGTTGTATATTTTGGAACAGGAAATAAATAAATACAATTGTTTGTCTAAGTTCATCTTGATGTTACACTGTTACAAAGTCGGTAGCGGCAGGAAAATAAAAAGAATTTGAATAGAAACATAGAAATGACTCACGGAAAAAGTCTAAAACTGGGATGTAATGATAAGTCGGATCAAAAAATACTGAAATTGTCACCCAACAATGAACTGAATATGAAATTATCGTGTAATAAAAAGGACAAATTATTTGGATTTTCTTTGGGCAAAGGTATTGGGAAATTAGAGGGTATTGATGAAAAGTAACAAGAGCAGCACAGGGGCTAGGAAGAGTATTTAGGTTATGCCAAGAAAAATGTTTCCTCCTTGTGGATTGCTCTCAACAGTTATACTAAGCATGATGGTTACACAGGAAAATATAAAAGGAATATCCTGGTAGTCTAAGCACCAAAGTTTTTTTTTTTTTTTTAAATCATACAGCCTATGGATCTTTCTGTATTCCCACATACAAATTTAAAACCGTGGGACCAATTTTTCTGGGTTGGCAGAGGGTTAGAAAGTAAATGCTTTATGAAAACACACTGCTGAGTAGGCAATAAAGAGCCTTGATAGACTATAGCAATAGTCTATCTAGTTGCTATATTGGTGTGCAGTAAGGAAGTCTAAATACTGTTAGCAACTGTCAAGCTGAGCTCAGGAGCGTTTCCTAAAACCTCCTCATTAGGTAGAACACAGAGCAGGTATTTAATAAAAAGGCACTTGTAATGATCTGAATATTACCAACTGGTGGGTTATTTTGTTCTTTATTATTTGATTGACCTTAGAGGTTTTATTCTTTTAAATTTGCTGTATTCAGTTGAGTGTTAGTATTGCTAAAAGATGACAAACTCAGTAATTCTAATGTGATACAGCTATTAAGTAAGATTTTGCATACTTCCAGAAACCTATAGTCTCTTAACCAACAGAAGTATTAGATGGGACATAATGAATAACTTTAAGACCAAAAAACAGAGAATTGAAGAGATAGGATTAGATAAAACATGTTCCTCTTGGCTTTTAGCTGGTTTGAAAAGCTGATGTGAAATGTTACTGACAAATTATTATAAACTGTTATTAAGTTTAAAAGATTGTAAGAACAGGTAGGGTTCTGTAGGTAGAGCTAGCACATTCACAAGTCAGATCTTGCTTCCCTGACTGACCTCAGTGTTGGTGACCTCCTTCATGCAGCCCAGTCTGGCAGAATGCATCCCTGGTGCCTCTGGCCAGCTCCTCCCCCTGCCGGGATCTGCTACTTAGTAATTAATTCAGGGCACACCCACGTCATGGTGGAAACAAGGGTAGATAGCTACTCCAAGCTGGCTGGGAGATAAACAGTTTATCAAGCATATGGCACAGTGGTATAGCGGATTTCATGTAGGAAAAAAAGAGCTGAATTAATAGCATCAAGAAAATTATTGCATGAGCATAAGTCTGTTGAGATCTTGGTACCTTTAAGCTGATTAAAACAGTCCATACTTTACAGCGCCATTTCTTGCTCTTTACAGTCTTTTGTTATTGGCATCTGTGCATCTGCTTATGTTCGCTTCTAATTCTGCATCTCTTAAACTGAGAAGGTTTTCTCCCTAAAATACTGAAAACGATGTGGCCCAGGCTGTCTGCAGTCTGCTCTCTTACATTGCTTTATGCCACAATTTTTAAAGGAAAATAATTTGAGATGCCACCATTTTTTATTACGTAGTGGGTGGAATCAAGTCTGTGCTACCTATTTCTTACCCCACTGACCAGAAGTCTGTGAGCGTGCAGTGGGCTAACACTGCAGGCGCGTGTCAGTCCTGGAGCTGGGCAGGAGCACGTGCGTTAGCATGCCCATGCACAATGCTGAGGCTGCAGAGAGAAGGCGGAAGTAGCAGAGCAAATCTAACTGCCATATGCTTTTTGCAGGGAAGCTTGCTCACTTTCCACCAAGGACGCATTACCAAGGAACACCCGACAGCCGAGCTGCCCCTCCTTTTCCAAGGTCCCACCTTGCTGAAGCTGTTGCCAAAGCCAAGGCAGGTGGAGGAGGAAGCAGCAGCGGGACTGGAAGAGGTCTCGTGGGGCAGATTATCCCTATTTATGGATTTGGAATCTTCTTATATATCCTGTACATTTTATTTAAGGTAAGAACAGCATAAATTGAAAAGATGGGTATATCAACTAAGCAGCCTGCAAACTTCAGTGCTAGTAACAGTTTTATATCTGGTTTCATTCCAGACCTGTTAAAAAAACTAGTCATCGGACTGGCAGTGAAAAATTGGTACATCTTATGTTTTTTTGCTATTGCAAATACTGTAATGAAGAATACAGCAAAGGGTTAATATAAACTGTATTAGCCTTTAACCCTTTACAATTTTTTTAGGATTTTTTTTTCTTTGCAGACTGTGTGTGGTGATCATCTATGTGGCTAAATGTGTGCAAGTTCTATGTTTAATTTCTAACACATTCCTTTTTAATATGTATTATTGCATGTTATATATGCTATATAGGTCATATACTGTATTATGTAGAGAGTGAATACAATTACTGAAAAGCTTTTAGAACAAAAAGCACCACAGTCTTGGAGAATGGAGGTTCTCCAAGAGAGGTTTGTGACGTTGTATTACCCACTACTCCAGATGGGGAGCTGGCTGAAAGCTGGTTTAAAATGCCAAATGCCCCCTCAAATGTTTCACACTTGCTTTGAACTTCATACAGCTTTTTGTTACACAGACCTGACTTTTATGCAGTTAATTGCAACCTGGAGATGAGGAACTGTCTTTGTGCAGCTGGGGAAGAGCAACTGTACAAACTGACCAGGTCTCAAAATACTGCTTATTTGGGAGGAGGGGGAAGGGGACCAAGTCTGGGGAAATGGTTGCTTCCGTTGAATGAGGGTTGAATCCAGACTGCGCAATGTCTGAAGAGTTGAGTCTGCTCTGGTGAGTAAAAAGAGTCCCAAGGTCGTAAGGAAGTGAATGGAGAGAGTTGATCAAACACAGAGAAGAGGGAAAGAAAAAAGAGAGTTTGAAGCTTCTGGATAGGGACACCCAGTATTTTTGCTGCAGATTTAGCTTTTATGCAAAAAAAAAAAAAAAAAAATTATGGAAATTTGTAAGGAAAAAATGGCAGAAAATATTGCAGGAGGAAAACGTGAGTCATGTATATTACTTCAGGATAACTGCTCTATCCACCATTTTTTCCCTTTACATTGAGGCATCACAAGGTCAGACCCTTTGGTGCTACCAAATTTTAAATGTGCATTTAAAATGAAAATGTTATATGCTTTCATTATCTTTAAATATACCATTCATTCCAAGTTTCCTTTAGGAGCTTCTAGTTGGCAAGATTTTCTAGGCATCCTTATGTCTTTGCTTCTTCATCTGTGCTTCCTTCATGTGTTTTTGCTTCTAGGGATGCTTTTCTATGGTCATTTTATAGCATAATTTTAGCTTTCTATCTTTGTTTTGTTGCCTTTGTGGCTTATACACTGCTACTATTCTAACTCACGTGTGTAGCAGAGTGTTTTTTTTTTTTTTCTCCCCACTTGTCAGCTGTCTTCTAAAGGAAAACCTGCGGTTGGGGAGAGGAAATGTCCTCCTACTGTACCTGGAAACATGAAGAGAAAAATCAGTAAGTATTATTTCTAAGTTGTATCTGCGTAGTTGTTTACTCAGTAAAGTCACAGTCTGGCCAGTGTTTTCAGCTTCTGGATATACTATAAACACACATATGAAAGTGATTTTCTGCACCATTAAAACACCATCACTTTTCGCTAATGAGAATCTGTGATAGTAGCCTGACCTGAAGCCATCTTGGAGCCTTGCACTGATTTGCTGAAAAGCCAGAGTTAAGTAGTGATTAAAAGTGGAAGATGTCAGTCTATAATTATGTTATAATCTGTATTCTAATAGTAGTATATAGAATTGTTACTAAAAGCTGGTTTCATTTTTTGAATTTGTGAACTTGTTGCCATCTTCAGTCTTTTCACTGCTTTTTTCCTTTTTATGTCGTTCAAAGTTTTAATGACTACAGTGTAAAGACAGGAGCCAGCATTCTGAAATGCTTGAGAAATTAATAAGTTTACTCTTAAAAATTGGAGAGTAGTTACCATAACACTATTTAAATATGTTGTGTTTAGTGGCTAAATTCTAATAATAAATAGAAGTACATAGGCTTTATAGAACGTGCTTGCAGTCATGTAATGCTGTTAATGTAGCTGTAAGAATTTTGTTGTTAATGCTTATATTGGAATACGTGGTAGGTGTTACAGTCAGTGTTCTAGATTTATTTTTAGTGCAATTATACTGTATTGGGCCTGGCAAATAGGTGAAAATTATTAACAATGTTAGTTGTAACTTATTCCACCTTTTCCTTATTTTACCTTGAACTTCCAAGATATTTGCAGTGCACTGAGCTTGTCAGGTGGTAGCTCCAAAGCTATTTGAAGGGTGATGCTTTCCTTGCCATTACCTAGAATACCTGGAAAGAAGAGTGCAGCATATGCTGCCTGCAACAATAAGACAGGAGACATCCATCAACAGAAGCTTTGAAAATTTTGTTTGTTTTACAGCTGACTATGAGCTTGCCCAACTCCAAGAAAAACTGAGAGAGACTGAAGAAGCTATGGAAAAACTGATCAACAGAGTAGGGCCTAATTGTGACAGGTATGTTACAAGTCATAGCATTTTAAAGGAGGATTCTCTGATTAGAAGTGAAATTTTCACAGGAAAAAATAGAGTACTTTGTGCAAGAATAGTAAACAAAAAAACCCCCACTCAAATAGTAATTGTATTTCTACTTCAAAGTGTAGGAACTTGGTTTTACCTGTCACATTTTTTCTTTTTCTTTTCCAAATAAATCATTCTTTACATTTTCATTTTCCTTAAGCAGAAGAGTAGCTATCCCCGCCCCCCTATTTTATATACTGTGTTATTTAGAAGATAACGACCGAAATATCTAAGCTGAAATAAAACATCTGTATTTAAAGTATATAAAACATCCTGTGTGGTCAGAGTAATTTTATGAATGAATCCTAAGAGAACCACTTATTTTGTGTTTTTTTTTTCTACGATATAGATTTTTAAAGAATAGAAAAGCTGTTATATTATTGTATAATAATCTGGTTCTGTAACTTAATTCCAACCTTGAAACCAATAAATTCATGTATTTCCTACTAAATAGGAAAGAAATTTGTAAAATCAGAATTTTAAAAATGGTTTTAATAACGCTTGCTATAAATCTGAGTACTTTATAAAGAAACATTGATAAGTTTGTATTTTTAATAAGAAGTGTATCAAGACCTCAATAGGTCATAACTGCAGTGTTTCAAAACATAAATGCTGCAAATATCAAGGTGAAATTTGAAAGCAACACAGATAGCTGTGCAAACTGCAAAGCATGTTACATTTTTCTGGATCAGTCAATTTCTGTTTTTAACTGTTCTATAGGAACAACTTTGTGCTAAGCCTGAATTTGGATGCTACATTCATTTGTGCTTTAAATGCTGTTCTCCTAGAACATGTAGTTCTGGCGCCCCTGCACTGGTGGTCACTAGTGTGGTTGTATTAGCCGAGGTGCCAACCTACCTGACCTGCAGGAACGTATCCCTAGGGTTGCTCTGCTGCTGCGAGTGAAACTAGGGTGCTACTTTGACTGTTCTTACTTACCTGTGTTTGGAGAGCTAGCACTACGCTCTATGCTTAACTTTAAGCTGGTAGAGATGGGCTTCCCAGATAGTGTGTTTGCTGTGAGAATACGTTATTTTATACCGTGAAAATGGGTTCAGGTCTGATCCAATATTTGCTTCATTCAGAGCAAGTGGCACAGGATTTTTATTTAGTAGAACTTTGTTGTTCGACCAGACTATTTACATAGGTGGCACTAGAGAGCTCAGGGGAAATCAAGAACTGAAATTAATACCAAATATTGTATGCAGTTTCTCTTTTTAAAAGAGGGAGGGGAAAAATCGCAATGTCAAGATGGAGCAAATACTTGGTTTCCAAATGCAATCGGTCTTTGAAGCTTTGAGTCTGAACTGAGAAGTTAATTAAGCTCAGTGATACTCGATGAATGCCTTAAAATAAAATATATAATTGAAAAGTATAATTAGAGCACAGAATTCAGTGCTAGATTTAAATTAAAAGGGAAGAAGAGCATGAAAATTACTTGTGCTCCATTTATTAATGTGCAGTTAAACAAAAATCTTTATAATGAAAATGTCAAAGAAAGAAACAATTGGTATCATTTTTGCATTAATTCCTAAAGGCCCCAAGTGAAATCACAGACCATTATGCTAAATATGGCAAAAAAGACTTTCTGCCAGGCAAGTATTAATAACAAAAACAGAGGTGTATTTTTTTTGTTGTTGTCACAAAAAGCAATTTATGATTGTAACACACAGTGTTTGTAGTAGTGCTGAGGTCTGAGCTTCTGTCTTGGAGCTTTTTCCTTATGCTGTATAATATCTTCTCTCAACTGAAAGGGTCCAGGGTTTATGTTGGGTTTCCGTTTTTGTTGAATTCTTTGAATCCAAAGATCCTCTTAATTCTGTATATTTTGTCAACAACAACAAAAAGTTTCCATTAAATTCCAGTGAGTTTAGAATGACCATTGATTCTCAGATAATGCCATACCATAGCAAGAAATCTATTTTGAAGGAATTATTCGTGCTGTAGTCTGTAATTTTATCCTACTTTCTTCTGTAGCAAGTGTCTGTAGTGTTTTCTGGCTGTGGCTTGCCCTATTCACTTTTTCCTTCACTATCATAATTTCAGTGAAGTGATGCTAGTTGAAAGCCTCTCAATACTATTATCTGCTTAGTGACAGGGGACAGTATCACCCAGCCCTGCGTTGTGCAGGAGACACGCAGGCAGAAACTGGTATCTGCGGAACCAAGCCTGCTTGGACCAGGTGTGGAGACCTTTCAAACCAACGTGCCAGTTGCAATTGCTAAAGCTTGGAATACAGAAGTAGCCCTTGCAAAAATGGAAAACTTTCAAAAAGCACAAATGCAAAGGTTTTTATTTAGGACTAGCATATATTAGCAAGCACTAGATGCAGGGTAAATAAAGAGCTAAGAAGGAAGAAACCTTCAGCAGGTACTCAGTAACCTAAAAATACCTAAACTAAGAGAAGGACAAAGATAATTGTTCCGTAACATGCACACTTATGTGGATAGAACACAGTACTTAAAACCAAACAATGTATCAACTCAAAGCTTTGAGAAAAATTTGCATTGTTCACACTTTTTTCAACAAATTATGAATTTAAATTAAGAACATTGCATCCTGTCAGCATGGGGACCTTACTATCTCCAGTTTCTGAAAACAGACCTTCCTCATGCAGGATTTGTCAGCAGAGATGAGAATCCTTGCTAGGATTTTGATGATTCAGAAGTAGAGACTGGATTGATGGGTGTGCAGGGTGCTCTGCGCTAAAAGCATGCAGCATACTACTTTTCTAAGCTTTTAGTAGAAGGCTTGGGGCAGTGATAAAACCTGTGT